TATATATATATATAATATATATTTATATATGAAAATATATATCTATATTTATATATAAATGCAATCTGTGGAGTATTTTCAAAAAGAATAATTATGGCAGTCTGCCTTCTGTCAATAGGTATGAAACTAGAATAGTTGTTGCATTTTGAAAACATGTATACCTGTATTTTGTATCTTCCCTCCTCCCCTCCACTGCCAGCGATGTGTCTTCTTTGGGTACTTTGAGTCTGGGAGCTTCTTTTCATTCTACCTCGTCATGGAGAGGACATGGAATGCCCTTCATAAAAGGACAGTATTGACTGCTGATCTGTGACAGAGGCTGCTGTGTCTCCATCAAAAAAGGACCCCCAGTCACTGAAAGGGAGGGACGTGCTGGCATGTTATCAGACTGCAGATCAGTAACTATCATTTCCATGCTCTTCTAAACTGTTACTGCAGAATCTTGTCAAAACCTATCCGAAAGTGAACTCTACCGCTTTGCTCATCAAGCAGCAGGAAAACAGCTTGATTATTTGATTCTTAGATTTCAAATTTCTTCATGAAGGAAACAGTTTGGCCCTAGCATCCAAGCTATAGTTTCATTACCTCAGATGAATTCAAGTGTTGTTGCTAGCTTGGCAGTTTCAAACACAACTTTCTTCTGTTTTTAGACAACTGTGTCACAATAACCTGTTTTTAATTGCTTGTGTTTAGCATTAGATTCACTTTAGCTTATGTCCATAGTACAAAATAACAAATAATATGATATTTTGTCCACTATTAACATTCTACTGGAATAGAACATGTTCTTGTGTATCTAACCTTAATCAATTTTTCGATGTGTTTAATGCCTAGTTAATGGACTGCTTCATTCAAAGGCACTTTTTCCTTTTTTCTCTGTATAGAAAGTTGTTATGGTTTTAGGGGAGACTTTTTGAGATCACAGGAAGTAAAGGTGCTGAAAATGTGTATATAGCTTCAGTTTTTGTAAAGAAGTTCTCGTAACTCAAAATTTCCTGCCCCATGTCCATCTGTCCTCTCCCAAGTAGGAAGGTTCTGTAGTTCTGTGCAACTTCTGTGGGGTTGCAATTTTACATTTTTAAAAACATCTTTGACCAGATTCTGCTTATTCGTTAAGTTTTGGCAAAATGCTGGGATCAGCAACCTATGATAGATATCTCAGATAACTTCCTCTCTTCACGATTGTTGCAAGAGTTTCAAGTTACTGACTTAAAAAAGAAAATACAGCTTTATGGTAGAGAGAACATTTTCCTAGCTTCCTAAGGAAGCAGTCTACATGTTGTCTCTCTTGATTTTGGCCCGCAGTAAGCTTTGAGTCTGTTGTCCAATTTTGAGCAAAATTGATAAAGGAGTCTAAAATATGTTAGTTCCTGTCATAGGTGTGGACAGTGTATGGCTACAAGAGCAGCCACAGCCTGTTTTTGTTTCTTGCTGAACTAGGCAATCACTAGCATAGAAAGGGAATGTAAGGGAGCTGAATAATGAAGGGGAGTGTAGTACTAGAAAATAAAAAGACCTGAGGATTTTGTAGCTAGATACAGAAATCGTGGTGAGAAAGCTTAGTGTATTGATGTCATCTGTGAGATACAACGCTGCTGAAAGCCAGAGTTTAATCTGTTTTGTTAATTCTTCTGCTCATGGAGCTACTTATTTTTTGAGATTTTGAATAAAATCACTAAAATTGTTCTGTGTGCCACTTGGTGTATGTTGCTGCACAGCTGCTTCTGACTTGAGGCTATTCTGTTTTTCGCTATTCTTGAAGTTCTTTTATTTCCTCTATTATCTATTTCGTCACTGATTCTCAGCAAAAAGAGTACAGTTTTTTCCAATCTGCATAATGTGATGTGTTCCCTGCTCTATACTACCCTTCTGTTCTAAGCAGGCAGTTATTTGTTGTCCGGAGATGCGCTTTTTTTTTTCTGCAGTTGCCTTTTTGTTAAGCCTTTCACTCCAGCAGTGCAGGCTATACGTGTATTTTATCTGTCAGAACCCGAAACCACGTTCTGCAGCTGTGTTAGCAGTGTTAAGCACAGTCAGACTTTACCCGAACAGTGTTACATCCATTTCCACGTGCAGTTGAAGAACTGTGTTCTGTTGAAAATGCTGAAGATCGTATTTAACCATGCTGTTTGTCTCTGGCAAATTACACAATGCCGTTCATCACAAGCTATAGCTATTTGGCTTTTCAGTAATATGGGAACGACTTCAGGGTGGTTTGTTTGTTTTAAACATTAATGTGGTTTATAGTGATTTGTTCAGGCTTTCGTTGTTATTCCTTCCTGATCCAGAAAGTGATTTATCTCTCACAAAACCCCAAAAGGACAACTTGATATGTTTGAGACATTTTAAATATGTACTTTCTTGGCTTTTCTATTGTGATATGCATATAGTTTTTATGCAGGTATTTTTGAAATGGTGTGAAAATCAAGGATTTATTTGTATGTTCAGCATACAGTTCTTATTCGAATGCTTGCATGGAGTAATATCTTGGTTGCATGACTAGTTCCAGAAGGTGCATGTACTTTATGTATTAAGTAAGGTATTGCTTAATGGAAATACTTAGCCCAGAGTGTGCAGATAGGTCTTATTTGTCCTGTGTTTTGCAACAGCAACAAATAGCGAGTGTTTTTAATACTACTACTACTACAGCTACTACTACTAGCAACATATAATAGCTTACCTCATTCCACTGGCAAACTAGTTTACTGCTTGTCTTTCTTTTGAAATACATTTTGCCCGTGATTTTATAACCATATGCTTGTATTCCAGAATTTTATTTTTAAGAGGAAGAATAAACCTTATCAATAAAATAGAAGCAGCAGCAGCTCTGCAGTTATTAAACATGTAAGATTTTGAAAAATTAAGAAAAGAAAATCTACAATAGCTTTTAAATTTTGGAGTTGTTTTACCTTTCTGGCAAAATATCCTTCGTTTTTTACTACTTGACTCTCACCAAAAATTTTGTTTTCTCCACTCATTATCGTTGACGTTTTATGAGAGTGATAGCATTTGTGGTGACAAGCTCTTATGATTTGATCATAAGTGTTGTGATATTTCATTATTTTTACCCTTAAAATTGATGATTCCTGGTGCCAGATAATTGCATGAGAATCTCATCTTTTTTAAGAATTTTTGTCCTTTTAATTGTTTTAATACATTCAAAATACAAAGGGTCAAAATTCTCATCCTTTCATTAATTTGAAATCTCTGATTGAAAGCAGATTAAAAAAAAAATCATTTGAGGACCTGGAGCATATTTCAGTTTTTGTGCTTGTAATTACATCGCATTTAAGAGTAGACTCAGTAGCAAGGCTGTTTGTTAATCATGTTCATTTTGGTGGTGTGTGTGGGCATATCTAGAGCAGGATCCGTAGAATTTACTGTCTAGTTAGATAAGGCAGATATAATTGGAGAAAGGTCATAACAGAATGAACACTTCAAGGATCTTAACTGCTAGTAATGCCATAACTGTAGATTTTTGGGATGGTGACCAAAAAAAAAGAAAAAAACCCAACAACAACCACAAAAAAACCAACAAGAGCAGATGATGACCCAGGAAGGTGCGCTAAATGGAAAAAGATACAAAGGTCAGTAGAAAAGCAGAGCAGGTATGGAATTGCGCTATGACGAAGAGATTGGGGAGAAGATGATAAGAAGTCACTAACCTCGGTTAGGCAGGAAAGAAGTGTTGTCGGAATGTGTCTTCAGCTGTTTCTTTCATATCTTCTTTATCTAGTGGGTCTGGCTGGTTTTCTCTTCCATTTTTCTTGACAGTTAATAGAGGCAGGGAATTGAAGATGCATCAGGGTTTGCATATTATGTGTGGGTTTGGATGATGTTAGTCTCCCTTGACTGCCTGTGCTCAGAGGGATTGCTGGGTGGCGAGTGGTGTTTTAACATTGCGTATCTTCTTATTGTCACTGCCTTCTTCAAATCATTATTTGTATGAGTGACAAACTAGCTCCACCTTTGCCTTCTAACTGGCATTTCAGTTCTGTTGCTTTTTTTGATCTAACCATGTTCATTCTACTTCTGTTTACTCCCTGTGGCACTCTTCCTCTAACTGCAGTTCAGTGCTACCATGCTTGATATTCCTTGGCCAGCTGACAGCTCACTTATCTAATGCACGTGGAGCCTAACAGTTTCATAGACAGGTACTACTTCTTGTCCTGGGCTTCTGGTCAGTAGGGTTTTTTCCCAACCTATATAATGAACTTTACCCTGCATGTAGATGAACAGAAGTAATGGCTTCACAGAGGGGTATGAACTCTTCCTATTTAAGTTGCTAACGTACAAGTCTGACTAATGTTAACATGTTTAGTCGTTTACTTGTTGGCTGTTCTAGCAGAAATGTTAGTCAAGCATTCTTAGATCACAGATGGAGTTTTAGTTTTTGAATAAATGAAGTACCACCAGTTCTACCAGCAAATCTGAGTACTTTGTCATCAGACTTGCTGTCAATACTTTTCTGAAAATACACAAGCAATCCTTAGTTGTGAAAATTACAGTTTTGGACAAATGTATGTTGTTCAGAAACTTTTTACTTTAAAGTTAAAAAGTATTTTCCCATTTGTATTGTGTATGTTCAGTTATATAGCCCAATACTTCGTTCTTTATCTACTTTACTTTTACAGTAATTAATTGAAAGAACAAACTCTGAGAGAAGACTCAGTTGAAGGCAGGCATTTTAGCCAAAAATTCTGCTACTGTTAATATTTGAGCAGTTTGTAATGCACATAAATATTTGATGTATCACACATGTTCTACAAAAACTTAGAACTGAATCAATCTGTGTTCCCTGAACTGTAGAATGTCAAATGATGAGAGCACTTTTATCAATCAGCATGGTTAGAATTTCAACACAGGAACTTTCTGCATTATGTGTTAAGTGATCTTGTTTGTCTTGATTAATTTTCTACTGCATATTTACATGGTTACTAGAAAACAGAGGGAGGGGAAGAGAGAGAGATGCATGTAATCATTTTTGTAATTTTTTTCAGGTATTTTTAGCAGCAATGATGTAGCAGTATCATTTCCAAATGCAGTATCTGGCTCAGGATCTAGCACTCCCGTTTCCAGTTCTCATTTACCTCAGCAGGCTTCAGGCCACTTGCAGCAAGTGGGAGCTCTATCACCTTCAACTGCGCCTTCTATAACTACTGTTGTTGCTGCAACTCAGGTAAACTATCACAAGAGTTTAAGATCGCAAATCATGTTATTGACCTGCTTACTGTCAATGTTAAAAGAAACAATAATTTTTTTGGAAAATAGGTTAATAAACATTGTATTTGTTGTGAAAACGTTACAGTTGCTAGAAGTTCCCCATAATATTACATAGTCCCATCTTTGTAAAGCACATTGATTTTTAAAAATGGTCTGTGGAAGTGTGTAGTAATAATGACTGTATTATAACTGGTAGCATAAATGCTGGTTACAATTCATCATGCTCTAACCAACGTCTGTTATTAGAACAATGTTTTAAGAAAGGATTTAAAAGAGGAAAACATGTAAAGTTTTGCTTGTTTCATGCAAAAATGCTGGTATCAGTTAAAGAACAGAGGGGTTCATTTGGGAGGTTTGACAAATGGACAGCTAAGGCAAGCCCTGGCAAAGAGGTGGCCAAGGCTGACGTCTTGATAGCAAATGAAAGTTGGGTAGATATCCTACAGCTTTGTATTTGAAAGGTCATACAAATGAAGATGTGTAGTTCATATTTGATGGTGAAGGGATAAGGGAGGCACTGGAGGAGTGCAGAATGGTGACATAGTCGAAGAAATGAACCAGAAAAAATATCTTTATGGTAGTATTTTGTATGAATTTAAGTTGGGCAAGATTGCATTTATCAAGGCAAGAGAGTATAAAGTTATGGTTTTAGAGAGCCACCATGATTCGAGTACAAATATGAATGAATACTGTAATGATGTGTTTATACTTCAGGTTTCTTGTATTTTTCATTTTCTAATGGGCATCTGTTTTACAATGAATGTATCAAATATATCTTTTTGTGTGTTTGTATAAGCCCTCAACTTTTTATTTATAGGGTCTACAGTGATTTAAGATAGTGGATATAAACCTGAAGAATTAAAATCAATCAAGCTTAATACATACATACTTATATGCATGTGTGTATGTATGTGCACACGCATGTGTGTATAGCACATGTATAGCAGAAATACTATGTGCAGGCCAACATAGAATACATTTCAATATCAAATAACACTTTGTTGTTATAGGTGGCAGTATTTTTACTAATTCTTCTGGACTGGTTTCCTAAAGAAATAAGGCTTGCATTATGCCAGTGTGACTTCTGTCTTGTAACTTCGGAACCTGTTGGCCAGTTTCACACAAAATTGATTGACATCTCTGTTGCACAAATTGATAGAAACTATTTTAAAGAAGTGAATTAAAAATATGATGCTTTGGTGAAGAGCCTATATATAACTTTTGTGAAGGGAAATCACAACCAATTGGAGTTAGGTTTTTGTTTTTTTTTTTAATTCCCAAAGTGTATTACACAACATAACTCACTGAAGACACTTAAATTGAGTAGTCTGGAGATAAGGGGAGAGGTTGTGTCATAGTTTAGTAGCAGATTAAAAGATTTAAAAAAACCCAAACAAGTAGATGCTCAGTTTTCACAGTGGAGGGGTTTACCATCAGAGCCTTGGAAAGATCAGCCTTATGGCCTTTTGTACAGCTCAATGTATTCATAAATGATCTAGGAAAAGGAGGAGGGACAGAAGCCAAGTTTGCTGCTGCTAGGTTATGCAATGAGCTATTATGAAGATAGCTGTCACAAACTGCTGGAAGACCTCACCAGCCTATGTTGACAAGGTGGTAAGACAGCAAATGAAATTCATGTTAAGGGGAAAAGGCAGTTTCTATTCAAAACACATACAGTAGATATCAAAAGAGGTACAAGAGCAGCCATGGTAGTGAACAATGGCAAGGAGCAGTATCTTTATAAGGAATGAGTAAATAGTGTAGGACTCTTGGCCTGAAAAAGAGACACTGAGATGTCATAAAAGAAAGGTCTGTAAAACCACAAATGACATGGAAAAGTTAAATAAGCAAGAATTGTGCTCCATCACTTCTATTTGTTAAACTCTGTCAGAGGATAAACAGATTCAAAAAGCAATGGGACAGAGCCCATATTTAGCAGACAGGAACAGAAATACCATAGGATTTTTTTCCTCATGTTGTCACAAAAAGGTGAAGTATACCCTAGGAGGTGTGCTTTCTCTTAGTCTTTAGCTGAACTAGAGAGCCCCCCATAGGTTAAGTGTTTAAAATTCCTGTCATTCCTTTGGCTCTGTTTTTTGGGAGATATGTTGGGGTTTGTTTTTGTTGTTGGATTTTTTTGGGTTTTTTGTTTGTTTGTTTGTTTGTTTTTTCTTCCCAGAGGAGTTGTGTATCTTACCTGAGTACCTAACTTGTTTTCAAGTGGTCATAGATTTACTAGTCAGGATCTTATTCACAGGTACTACCATTTAAAGAGTCTTTTGGTTCTGAATTATAAAGGGAGGTTCAAATGGTGAGACGTTTTGGTTGCCAGCCTTAGAAGGGAACTCCTGCGTTCACACAGAGAACTAACGAAGTCCTGTGCTGCTTCAATGATTCTAGGACTAACTTTGGTAATTAGAGCCTGCCAGTTGGAAACTGGTAAAGGCATAGTTTTTGTTTTTTCTTATATCAATGGTGTCAATGCGTAAATTTGAACTTGGTCCTTCCATCGTCTGAACCATTATACAGGCATATATGTCAACCAAACAGCATGCCTCAGATAAGCTGTATAGCATGACATGTCTCTTAAGTTATGCTCTACAACCAAGGCACCTATATTTATTGTCCCAATCTTTTTTCCCTTCTGTATTCCCTGTCTTCACCATTTGCAGTTAAACTGGCACTTTTCCTTTTTGTCTGGCATCCAGTTAACATACAAGAAGTAAGCAGTGGAAATTTCCAGTTGAGGCGAAATTGCTTTAACTGTCACCTTTCTGTTTGTTGTGTGGGTTTTTTTTTTTTTTTTTTTACCCTGCTGATCTATCAGGTTTGAGAGAAGCTTCCTACAAAGAAGCTGTAGTTGCAAAAGGTGGTCAGTTGGCTTTAAGGTCCATGCACACAGTTCTTCCTAATTCAAGGGAAAATGAGTTTACAGATCACTTTCTAGCATGCAGGAGAAAGAAGATGGATGTCTATTGTGAATTTTAAAATATTAAGTGCATTCATGTCCTGGTTGATATTTAGGATTGGTGCTACTTCTGTCATTGCACCAGGCAGATTAGATGCTTTTTCCCAACTTCCAAGACTTGAAAATCCCAAGCAGGTCTCCCTGCTGGAAGTGCCTTTGATTCACACTAAATCGTGACAACCACCTGTAACGTGCCTTTGTTTTTCCGGGGCTCTACGAGTCTTTTTCAGTTTCAGTTCATGAGGTCCTTGCTAGTGTTTGAAGAGACTCAGTCAAGAGAGCCTATTTTACCATGCAATTGTTCTCCAATTCATTTTTTTCATGCCGTTATCATAAATGACTGATTATACTTCAAGGGCTAGGGTTTACCTACTTAGTTCTGCAAAGTTTCATGAGAGTGCTGTGTCTGCTGAGTGGGCTCTTGTGGATGTATTCTCAGTGTTTACCCACCTCTTGACCATGAAAGTCTTCAAATAACGGTGTGCTAATGTATTTTTTGTGTAGTGCTGTAATTAAAAGAAAATCACCCAAGAACCTAGGTGTACATACAGTGGTTATAAGTTAAGGTAAGCCTGTGCCTCTATAGCAGATAAAAAGTAATAAGTGAAAAAGTAGGCTTTATTTAAACTATTAGTTAAGAGAGCAAGTATGCCCAGACCTTGGTTGCTCAGCTGTTTGGTCAGGACAGCAGACGTACCACTATTGGAATAGTACTAAAAATTGAAATAGCCTCAAAGATGTGCTGCTACGGTGCACTCCTCTCTAAGATTTCAGCTGTTAAGTTTTCTTAGATCTCTATTGGGCATTTGTAATTATAATTTTGGGGACATCATAAATTTGTCAATTTTTGATGGATTTTTTACATCCTTTTTTTTGAAGCAAGGGTGTTAAGAAATTCTAAAGAGAAGGTCTTGGGGGGAGAGGGGGGGGGAAATTCCATAGAATTAGTCTCAAAATTGGCTGAACTATTTTGATTAGGAGGTTATGGTAGACATCTAATACAGAAAATTTTGTTCATAGTATTAAGAAAACTTGCAAGCTATTGAAAGCAACTGTTCTAAAGCGGGAAAATTAGGTAACACTACTGTGCCTTTTATTATTTTTAATAACTGCTATGCCCATATAAAACTCTAGTGATTTAAAACCCTGAAGTGCTGCTTTTCAGCAACTAAACAACACTGATTTTAAAGCTTAAAAAAATGCTTTGAAAACCCTGCATTTTGATTCTTTCATTCTATTGTCTAGTATGATAGTTCCCATACTGTGGTTTTTGTTTGTTTGTTTTTAAGACGAAAACACAGTATGGGCCTTGTTGCAATCACCTTTTCTGTTGTGTCTCATTTTCTTCTCCCTCATGCCACTCATAATTTTTATTCCAATCTAATAAATCCAGAAGAGATTATTAGCTTGTGTTCCATGCTGTGCCATAACTGAATTTACATGCTGGTGTTCCTCACCAGGTGGGAATCAGTGGTCTAGTAAAAATGCCACTTGCTGGAAATGCAGATTTTTTTTTTTTTTTTTTTTGCATCCTGTTCTTTTTTTATATTTCTTGGGCGTAGCCTCCCATAGGTTACACTGCTTAATTCAGTGAGGCTTTATTAGCGCAACAATGCATTTAACAATTGGAAGAATACAGAAAAAAGGGGATACAGGAAAGAAGGTACAGCTCACACCAATATTTGCTCCTGGTTTCCTGTGAATTGATCCTCTTGATGTGTTTGTCGGTACTGCCTGTTCTGCATGTAACAGCAAATCACTATATCCCAAACTACTGTCTTTTCTCTCAGAAGCATGCCTTTAACTTTTGCATTAATATTAATTTCTGCTCTGTTGTTGAGAAAAATCACTTTCTTGTATTTGGATTTTGAATAATGTCTTAATTTTTCCCTGTTAAGCCAAGTCACAAGTTGCACCACTCTGAGGTCCAATGCTCAGTTTTTGTCTCAAAGATTTCCTTGTGTTTCATAATTACAGCAGAAATGTTT